GACTATTCGAATAATTGAATAGATGCACTTTTCTGAATATTCGAATATTCTAGTTCGCATAAATCATTCGAAACGCAAATATTCGAAAATTTTTCGGTTCTAACTATAGTAAACGCATCATAGATCCATTGGTAGAATTGTGCTAAACCTTTCTGCTAAATCTCTGCTGTATACCTAAGTGACACTTTTCATCTCCACTTTTGTTACATCGAAAAATTTTCACCAATGGGCTAATTGCCACTTCGAAGCATGAAACGTGGTGTTTCATCTTTGCAAATTGTGTGATTGCTTGTAGAGACTAGTGCTGATTTCGTAACTCTGCTCATAAAACGTGGATATGCGTGTTGTGCCACGTTGGAGGTTACAGCATTTTTGAACGTCTAGTGCTTTAAAATGCTGGCTTCGTCTCTTGATGAAGATTGTAATCCAGACATTTGACATCGATTATTCTCATTAAAATACTATCTATACCACAGTTTGTCACCATCAGACCTCTTTATCCTTCGAATTTCCGACATTACCCATATTCGAAAATGTCAGTTTTCTTGAAGTTTTCTTTCTTCTCAGTTTTCTGTGTTTCTGTTTCCTCTTTGCTCAGCTCTATATATTCCAGTAATCTGACGGGTTTGTAACCATAAATCATTGATGGCATGTCGTTATCTATGTCCTTTTGTGTCAGTAATGAATATACATGCAGTCTTATCTTGGATATTTTTTGTTTACAGAACGGTCAGCCCATATAAAATACCCAGTTTGCTTTTTTGAATTCGAAATGCTCAACTATCTCTCACCAGTTATGGACGAAGACGATGATCTCTTTGGCTCAGACTTAGACGATGATGACAAGAGAGACAAAGGAAGTCCTGAAGACAAGAAGTTTTTCTTTCGCAAAGAGCTGCGGTCTATGTTGTACGGATTCGGAGATGACAAAGTGAGTTATCTCTTCCAATTTTTTTCTTTTCCAATCAATAGTATAGTTGTGCAGGTACCATATGACAAAACTCTTGAGACGTTGGAAGGAATAGTTCTGGATTACATAAAGGAACTGTGTGAGAGAGCCATGAATGTGAGTAAACTTCAGATTCGTTCAAGATTTATTTTTGCATATTCATTCCATTTTTTTTCTATCTCATGTGTCGCTGTGTGCTGAAAGTTCATACCGTAATCCTACAG